GGTCCCAGTAGCCTGCCTGGTCGTACATGTATCAATAGCATTTCGACGAGTGTCGGAAGTGATGTCGATTTCGCTCGGGCCAAGATCAATCAATTCGACACCGACCAATTGAAACGTCAACGCAAATTCTAAATGTCCCCTTCACTGGCTTCGTGGCAACACCACATTGCCACATTGCCAATCTTGAACGACCCAACTCCATCGATCTCGAGTTGTTGGATAAATTGATGTCTGGACCGTGGGTTTCCCGTCAGTGGCTTCGTGGCAACACCATATTGCCACTTTGCCAAGCTTGAACGACACAACTCAATCGTTCTCGAGTTGTTGGATAAATTCATGTCTGGACTGTGGGCGTTCGGGTCCCATCGTACGCGTATCGCTTGCGCTTGGGCCCACTTGTCCATCTTCAAGTACTCCAGCATCGCCGCAAACTCATCCTGCTCGGGTTCGGTCAATCCATCCAACGGCATGATCTTTCCAGTGCGTAGAAAGAATAGCACACGTCGAAACAGAGTCGGGTCCAGGTCCAGAAAGTACCCCTCGCCTCCTTCCGGTTTCCACTGGCCAGACCGGAGCAACGAATGAATGTAAGTGCCTTCCCCACGCAAAATCGTGTCCTTGGACGTTTGGAACGTCGTGCCACCCACGTTCAGCGTGATAATGTCGGGCTGGTTGTGGAGATTTTGTGTCGAATTCGGTCTTCGAGCTCGGCCCACGCAGCCACTTTCGTCTCAAAGGCCTTGGCTTCAGCACTCACTTGGCTAAACGTATTGCGAATGGCTATGGTCACTTGGGTGGCAGATTCCAATGACCTTGTCATGATAGATGCGCAAATAATGCCAAGTGAGTAACAAAGTGAATAACGCGAGGACCCCAACTGCCAACCATGGACGGGAAGCGAACTACCCATCGAGTTGGAAACGATCAATCTCAAAGGCTCACCCCCGTTGAAATGTCCTTCCTGCCAGTTTATAATGTGAAATGTTGTACTCCGAATAGATAGGCTAATCGATCGGTCTTGGGGTCAGTTGGGCACTATGCATCAAGGCAAACGTACAGGGTTGGTGGAATATCAAGCGACCAAACTCCGAGCACATGTCCGGGTGTTGCGGATGTCGAATACGCAGTGCGTGTACTTAACCGTTTTTAGGTCGCTCACATTCGATTATACACTTCCAATTGAATTGCCGTTCGTATTACTAGTAATACACAGTGTATATACATCACGATATTGGACCCCCCCATTCATTTCCTCGGACACACACCTCGGCGAAGTGTACGTATAGCTCGTTCCTCGTCATGGTGTCGGGATCGCATCGTACTATGCATCGTTCACGTGGTGGGGATTTGCCTAATACTGTCTTCGATGTCTGTTCATAATGATGGGCCACACACTACACACAAGGGGCACACCCACATCTACCACCATAACCCCGATTCTCATCTCCCATACCTTAACCCCCTTTAGCCCCCAATCATCCCCGTTCACCTCCTTCCCCCGAAAGCCTCCCTGTCGTGACGGCGTACCAGATCGTGGTACAGCCCCCACTTGTCTGGTGCTGAGTGAACCGCTCGTGGCGCTCCGATTACTTGCAATGTCGCGGAGGTTAACTTCTACTCTCTACAGTAGTTGCTAGCCACATTCAACGTGATAATAATGTTGGGTTGGTTGTTGGTGTTTTGTCGAATGCGGTCTTCGAGCACAGCCCACGCAGCCACTATCATCACCAACGTCTCCGCTTCAACATTCATTTGGCTCGGCGCAGGGCAAATCCCGAATGCCGCTTGGTTGGCAAACTCCAACGAGACACAGTTCAAGGTGGAAATGATAATTATCCAGGTCCAACTCCATGAGACAAGGTGATCGACATCCGGTGTCGTTGAAGTCTCTTGCCCTTTGTGACTCCTACGAAACGAAGTCGTCGTTACTACACGACAGTGTGTTATTTAAATCTCTTCGGCGGTTCCGACAAATCCGCGCCCACCACCATAACCCACTACTTCCACTTAGCCCCCTTAGCCCCCACGACAACACCTTGCCGTAGCATCGTGTGTCTAATCTTGTCTAATCTTGTACGATGCCGCTTGGGCGGCACCCTCGAGACTTGGTTGTCAGGGGCACTGCAAGTCGAAACATTCAAGTGACCCCAATGGAGGTCGGAGATCCAACTAGTGCTCTTTGATGCACCCCATCACTCTCCAAACAACCGCTGCTTGTACATGTCAAGATTGAACATTTATCCAGAACCAAGGCTATCTAAAAAGCTTCTACAGCAGATTGACAGGATAGTGAGGTTATTGAGCAGTCAAAGGGGGCCGACAGGTAACTTAATTGGGGCAGTACCAGACTTCCGTCTGTAACAGCCAAAGTTCGCTATGTTTTATCATCCGTCGAGGATAGTAATTTTCCATTGGGTATACAGAAACACCACAGGGAACAAGTCCTCGGACGGGTCCACGAGATTCACCATAAATGGATGGCCATCGTTCACGGCAAACTCAACATGCCAGGGCGCCCGCCGAATCGTCACCACGTCGCCCGTTTCTATTGGTGAAAGCGTCATAACTTGGTGAGATATTCTCAAAATCGCTCCGGTGGACTGGTACAGGTAGCATTTCCGCATTGACGAGTCGGAAGCGATGTCCATTCCACTTGGGCCAAGGCCAATGCAACACTGATCAGTTGAATAATCAACGCGGGCTTTAAATTTTCCCGTCAGTGGCTTCGTGGCAACACCACATTGCCACTTTCCCAAGGTTGAACGACACAACTCAATCGTTCTCGAGTTGTTGGATAAATTCATGTCTGGACTGTGGGCGTTCGGGTCCCATCGTACGCGTATCGCTTGCGCTTGGGCCCACTTGTCTATCTTCAAGTACTCCAGCATCGCCGCAAACTCATCCTGCTCGGGTTCGGTCAATCCATCCAACGGCATGATCTTTCCAGTGCGTAGAAAGAATAGCACACGTCGAAACAGAGTCGGGTCCAGGTCCAGAAAGTACCCCTCGCCTCCTTCCGGTTTCCACTGGCCAGACCCGAGCAACGCATGAAAGTAAGTGCCTTCCCCACGCAAAATCGTGTCCTTGGACGTTTGGAACGTCGTGCCACCCACGTTCAACGTGATAATGTTGGGCTGGTTGTGGAGATTGTGCCGAATTCGGTCTTCGAGCTCGGCCCACGCAGCCACTTTCGTCTCCAAGGCCTTGGCTTCAGCACTCACTTGGCTAAACGTATTGCGAATGGCTATGGTCACTTGGTTGGTAGACTCGAACGAGCTTGTCATGTTGACTCGGATATCCAGAAATGGGTAACATTATTGACGTGGATTCGGTGACCCAACTGTCACACACGGAATGGGACGAGGCTTACCGAGCGAATTTCTAAACGGCCTTCGCAATACCATCCGATCAACTAATTTCAAGTGTATTTTTAGGTCTTCCCCATCACATACACAAACAGAAATGGGGCATTCGTTGGATGGCAAAGTGTCGCCTGGTTTTGGCGACCGCAGCGTGACCTTCAACTACACACCGCTCCTGTTCAGCCTGCCCTATTAAACTCGCCTGCACCGTATATATATAATCCCCCTTCCACCTTCCTTCGTGGTATATATACATATTATATATATATACAGCTCCTTGAACGTAGCCGTTCTTTGCCTACATGACCGAACCGTTGCTCAAAAGCATGGAATGGACGACGGTTGCCTCGTTTTCGAACATCACTATCGACGTGTTGACTGGTCTATTCAACGACCAAACGCTGCCCCTGCTGTTGAAGTTCGGTATGTTGATGGCAACGGAATCATCCGGATACCGCAACTTGAACCCTGGATGACAATGTTTATCACCAGGACAGCATTGCACACTTACATCATTGCACCAGAAACGAAGATGCAGCGACCATCAAGGGCATTGGCGCTAGGGCACCTTGAAGTGCGTAGGCAGAAGAGAACAACAGGATATATGTGGTGAAGTAGTTCATTAGCTTAACACTCCTTAATCACTTTCCGATTTCCTCTCTTGTTCGTAAGTCGCTCACTAACGCAAGCCGCCTGCTCCAAAGCCGCAAGTCGCATCCCATCAATTCAACAGGTACTGAGCCCAAACCCTACGCAAGGCAAAACCAACAAGAGGGAAGACCCATGACGACACCCAACGCCATGAAGCTCAACGAGCACAATTACCGTGACTGGAAGACATACTTCCAAGGCCGCCTCATGGCCAAAGTGATCCTTGACCAACTCACGGCACGCCCGACGAACCCGCCCGACCTCGACGACCAAAAGGCTTTTGGAATTCTTATCGAGACGATCGAGGCAGGGCAGTATCGTCACGTGGAAGGCGCGGCCAACGTCAAGACGGCGTACGAGGCCTTGGCCATACACCACCGA